TTCAACAAAGTGGAGGATATCATCTGCTGCCAAGCTGCCAGCTGGACTTTCTTTTTTTCTGTAATCCATTTAAAGCTCTCAACAAGAAAAGAGCTTTTCTCTCTCTCTTTCTCTCTTTCTCATTCTCTCTCTCTGTACCAACACGAACATTTTTTTAGAACAAGGGTGTAAATAGAGAGTCTGCTTAATATGTCTACCTTGAATAAAAGAAGATTTTGCACATAAATCTAACCTCCAGAAGATTATGGCCGGGGGAGTAGTTCATGTACGCACACAAGAAAGCGGAGACGTGTGTCACTTTGGTCTCAAACTCATCTGCATCTTTATTTCTTCCCTCCGGCAGTGAATCTCCCTGCTTGTTCACACCTCGGACCCACTAATCCATCGTAATACAGCACAACCAGCCAGCATGCGAGATTTGTTATGGTATAATCAGGAAAAAAATAAGGAATAAAGAAACATCGCACTTGAAGGTAGAGTTGTGGGCTATCGTTGATTCGATAAAAAGGTCGATCATACATTATGTCGATTTTTTTTTTTTTTTAGCTTCTGCACAATTTTTTTTTAATATAAAAAGACATGAAGTGATGCTTGCACCAGCTATAGCATAAAGATCATTTTTTTAAACCCCGCCAAGTAAATGCTTGTATCCATTAAGATATCCTTTTTTTTTTAATTTACTTCATTTACAGCACAGCACACAGAGCCAAAATGGCATCCATCTACTTGGAAACATTATCAATCCACACGACTATATTCTTCTTGGTCTGTTATATACATCTCTTACCTGCATATTGATTAAAAAAAAAAAACAAGGGGCATGGAGGAATGAAAATACAAGATGAAGAAACGCCAACAAAACGACATCCAAAGTAACAAACCAACACCGCGAAGAAACTCACGACAAAATGAAAACAAGACATGACTCGGGGAAATGTGATGGACGATGACAGAAACAGAAGTAATGAACCAACAGAGAGAACCCTGGGAAGTAAATCTATACGAAATAAATATTTGAGAGCCGATGATGAACACCTGGAGAAGACACAAGAGACCGGCGTGACGAGAACAGGTGGAAACGAAAAAACCCCAAGGAGCAAGACAAAAAGATACTGGATCAATGGCATACGTGAATGTGACTTGAAGCAGATTTTATGAAGGGGTTCTATGACCAGGTATTTTCAGTGGTATTTATTCAGGCACTGGATTTTTGTATTTTCATATTTGATATCGGGATTTATAATATTGGAAGATAAAATTACTTGTATCCGGATTTACATTTTTTTTTAACATATCGCTCACCTCCGCTTAGTGTTTTTCTTGTTTTTTCTTTTTTTTATAAATAATGCACAAAACAAAAAAAACATAGCAGCACAACATTTGACTGTAGGAGTTGAACAGGTTGTGTTTAAAATGTCCACTGTTCACTATGTGTACTGCTCATTGCGCTCTTGTACTCTGGTCTCAATTTCTGGCTGGGCTTCGATATGATTGGGCTTCTCCGGCAGAATCGCACTTTGTCAAAATTCTGAACAGCTTTCACACAGACACCTTCGGAAAGAAGCAGCCAACAAAAGATTGACTCGGTTGTTGAATTTCACGCTCGATGGGTCGGAAGGCATTCCAGAGACCCACCAAGCAATTAAAATGTCAATAGTCCATCACGGTATATGTGGCCCCTTTGAAGGAGTACAAAAGCTCAAAGTTTGAACCTCCGTAGTGCGTCAGTAAAGATCAACACTGTGTGGAGTTTTTGCTTTTTATTTAAATTCACATCGTCTTGCTTTTAATAACACTGACGCAGAATGACAAAGAATGAGACACATGACGCACAGCTGTAAAGGGACCCGCCTTCGCATTTCACATTCACTCTTTCAATTAAAGTTTTAAATTTACAGTTTTAAAATGTTAACATGAACAGCAGTTTGCTTCTTTTTTTTATTATTATTGTCCATCCATTTTCTGAAGCGCTTATTCCTCACAAGGGTCGTGGGGTGTGCTGGAGCCCATCCCAGCCGTCTTCGGGCAGTAGGCGGGAAACACTCAGAACTGGTTGCCAGCCGATCGCAGGGCACTCATGGAGCAACAACCATTCGCGCTCAGAATCACACCTAGGGACAATTTCGAGAGTCTCATTCACGTGCCACGCATGTTTTTGGAATGTGGAGGAAAGCGGATTACCCGGAGAAAACCCACGCAGGCACTGGGAGAACATGCAAACTCCACAAAGGAAGGCCGGAGCCGGAATCGAACCCTGCATCTCTGCACTGTGAGGCCGACGCGCTAACCAGTTGAGCACTGGGTCGCCCTTATTATTATTATCAGTATTATGATAATGATGATTATTGTTTTATTCAATTTTTTTTTTTTACACTCATAGGACTGTTAAAAAAAGCTACCATACTTCCTGATACACTTTCAGAGCAGTTCTAAAAAAATGCTTTATGTCCAGTTTGACCCTGGAAATGATTATTTCTATGTCCGTTTGTCCTCTGTAAGAATCTAATTTGGATTTTGTCGGATCTTCAGGCCTCCGCATGGCATTTTTCCCGAAATTTCTGTTTTCCCAATTATCTGAAATGCAGCTGCCCCCGCGTCTTTCTTTTTGTCATCAAATCACACTCTGCCTCACATAACTTTATTGGAGATGATTAATATTTAAACCCACCGCTTCGGCTCTCTAATGAATAATTGCTCCAATTCTGCATGTATTTGCTAGAACATTTATCTCAGTGGGGGGGTTGGGGGGGGAGGAATCGTTTGCCGTGTTAGGCCTGTCATCATGGAGAACTTTTCATCATTTTGCTCACTTCAGCTCGGTCTAACTGCTGCTATGACGCCTCACAGCATTCAGTTTAGGACATGACACACTACGAACCAATCGTCAGACGTAACCGAAGTCGGTCATTTCGATGACATTGCTTTCACGGTGTCAAGTGCAAATGACTGTCAGAGATCTTCTCAATTCAATGCATGTCATTTTGCAGTCAAGCCAATCAGTGTAATGGCCTGTGCACTGTTTGATCAAGTCATCAACTTCCCCCGTTAGGACCGCCGATTTTTCTCCCCACAATCATTTCGTCATTTAAAATGATGTCTGTAAGTTGACACACATGATTTGCTTTTGCGGGCCACATAAAATAACCCGGCGGCCCCGATCTTGCCCCCCGGGCCTTGAGTTTGACACCTGTGATTGAGTGTGCTTCAATTTTTCATATATTTAATTTTTGATCATCCATTTTTCAATGTATGGATCAAAGATCCACTACCCTCACCCAACGACAAAGGTTTTCAAGCAAACAACCAAATAACCTCATTTACCATTCAAAATGTTGGACATTTTTTCCACAAAAAATTAATTCACTCAAAATTGTCATATAATATATCTAAGGTGATCAGATCTGGCCCGCCACATCATTTTATGTGGCCGGCGAAAGCAAATCAAACATGTCAACTTACATGATGCTTGCTAAAATTTGGACCAAAATTCATATTCTCATACGTTATAAATAAGAGATATTGCAAGCATTTTCTTGTTGGCAAAGCCCTCATTACAGGAACTTCAACAACAGTTGAAGTTACTTCTTTATATGGTTTCCGTCATAACGGCCCTCCAAGGGAAACGGTAACTAAAACGTGGCCCGTGACAAAAATGGATTTGATACCCCTGCCTGCCCTCCATATTTTAGGACATTCGCGATCCGTGTGCTTACGATTTAACTGTCACATTCAAACCACTTTTTTTTCTTTTTCTTGACTCCTTTCTTGACTCCCCTTTAATCATCTTACCTTTTTTTCTCTCTTTTTTTTACATTGTTGTCTTTTTAATCATGATTTTATATGCTGTCAGTTATTTTTCCCTCTGGCTGTTTCATTAATTTATGTCATTCACACTTGCCTTTGTGCAGGAGCTGTGATATATAAATAAAACTGCGCTGCCTAATAGCCAGTTAATTGCTGTTAAGGTCTCAGGCTAATTACAGCGCAGGAAAGCGTACCAGCAATAATTTTTGATCTCCTCCACGCTGCTGCTGTTTGACACACACACACACACACACACACACACACACACACACACACACACACACGCACACACACACACACACACAGAGGTGTCCACCTTGCTAAACCAGCAGAGCGGAGGGAGTAATTATAGCATAGGACAGGTCACAAGGTCATCGTTTCACCTTAACTCGAGAGCAATGGAGCGTTTTTTTTGGATAAATAAAAGGCTGTCTTCAGCCTTGAGAGTGCAAACATCATTTGTTAGCAGGCAAACATAAAAGTTGAGATTAACCTACAAATTGGTGGGCTTGCCTGCAAAGCATTCATTTGTCTGTTGTGACCAGTTGTGAGGATTTGCTTGCCCTCTGCTACGTAAAGGGTTAGTCAAATCAGAAATGTTCTGTGCGCGCCCCCCCCCACCCCAGTAGTCTGAACACGGTATCCTGATTAATATTGCATTGATGGAATCTGAATTAAGCAGCAAAATCCACTCGCACATGTCAATCCAAATGACATTTTTTGACTTGACTTCCCGTTCAACATTTATTTTGCCCACATGTGTTAGAGTAGTAATATTGTGTGTGTGTGTGTGTGTGTGTGTGTGTGTGTGTGTGTGTGTGTGTGTGTGTGTGTGTGTTGTGTGTGTGTGTGTGTGTGTGTGTTGGGGGGGCGGGAACACTCACTCAAGAGAGGCGGGGGTTGGGAGCATTCCAGTTTGTGTGCATATTACACAGGTCAATGTTTGCTAATGCTCAGGACAACGTTTTCTCGAGGAGTTTCTGTTATGAAGCAATTTGACAAACCACAGCATGACTAGAACAGCTTATTGGCGGGAAACGGTTCTTTTTTTTTCAAGTGATTTCATAAAACCAAAAAAATACCAGAATGTGGCTTCCTCCAAGAAATTTGAAACCAGACGTACACATGCAAAGGGTACTTGCCAGCGGTGCTCTTATGGGTTCAGGACACACATGCACCTCCCACCTTTTGCCACTGAGTATCCCAGTTGGGAAATATTTCACCCTAAGCCCATCCTGAAATGGGAGGGGGTGGGAGGAAGCAAATACAAAAACTCCACTACCAAAATCTATGTCAACAGAGTGATGAGGTAGATAGAACAAGACGTGCACAGAGAACGGATTTGTCTTTTTTTGCCGCCCTGAAGAGAAGCGATTTTATTTTTCCACGGGAATTAAGTTTATTTTGCTTTGAATCCGTTTTTGAACTTCAGCAGATCCCCTCGGAGTTTGTCGGACTTTAGACGCACGGGGCCAATGTCAAAAGAGGCAAAACCAGAGAGCATGTCTCTGCATCCTCTGGGAGGAGGGGCAGAGGTCACCACGGAGCAAGAGCCCTTGTGCGTTTTTGGGACGGGAGACATGGGACGCTCTCTGGGCCAGCGCCTGCTGCAGACGGGCTACAAGGTCGCCTACGGCAGCCGCAGACCTCTCGGCTGCGGCCCTGTGCCTCAAGGAGCTCAGGTAACACACATGGCGCGGCCGCTGCACGCGGTGAGCAGCGTGTCGGTTGTAGAGTTCAAAAGGAGGGTTGAAATTATGCCCTGTCTTCCTGGGCAACACCAAAAAAAAAAACCCCAAACAAACAAAAAACCCCAAACAGCTTAAAAATAAAAAAAAAAAGAAACCTTATCAGATGAGTTGAAGGTCACTGATAAAATCAATGTTTGTCTGCATGCCTGTTTGTAGAGCATTATGTTTGCGTCTTTTTTTTTTTTTAATGTTGGGCAATGTGCGTGGTTGCATAATTCTGGGAACTTGACACTTGAAATTTACAGGAACTACGCAAAACCATTTTTATTTTATTTATTTTTTTGTTAATTTACTCCATCTTTCCGTTCAGCGCAACCATAATGCTGACTCATACACTCGTACGGTTAGGCTGCATGTTGCAAAACAAAATGCTCATTATGCCATTTCTGTGCAACAGTTTGTGGGCCATCCTACCAAACCATTTGCTCGTCACGACGCTCAAAATAAAATTAACACTCATTTCCACTCTAAATCTGATCATACATACGGTTCAAAATGTGTCTTGTCCCAGCTCAGGCAGACGACATTTTCTATATCATTGTTTTATCACCTTTACACAATGAAGGTAACTAGTATGTGGCGAGATTCGAAATCAGATGTAATACCAACGACGATACAGAATATCGACTTACTTTTGACCATACCGTGGCCTGCAGAGGTCTTGGATGATGCAAGTTCCTGTGGACCATGTGGAAGATTCCGAGTTCTTCAGAGGGGGAAATTTCAATCATTGGGGTAACACGACTGGGTGAATAAAAATACACTTCAAGTAAAGTTGGGACAAGAAGTAACAAATGTAAAAATATCCATCCATCCATCCATTTTCCGATCCGCTGATCCTCACATGGGTCGTGGGGGGTGCTGGAACCTATCCCAGCCGTCCTCGGGCAGTAGGCGAGGGACACCCTGAACCGGTCGCCAGCCTATCGCAGGGCACACAGAGACGAACAACCATCCACGCTCACACTCACACCTAGGGACAATTTAGAGCAGGGGTGTCAAACTCATTTCACATGGTGGGCCACATACGGCCTCGGTAGATGTCAAGTGGGCCGGACCATTAAAATGATACAATACTTTGCTATAAATAACCAAAACAATATGTCTTTCCTTTGTTTTGGTATAAAGAAGCACAAGAACATTAGGAAAATGTTGAAATTTAATGAACATATCTTTTACAAAACATTTCATGAAGCACCTTACATTTCCTTCGACAAATGTGCAATTTACTTTTATCATTCACATATATGCATTGCAACTGATCCCACTGATTGTACAAACTTTAACAAGTAATTGGTATTGAAAAATATAGTAATGCACTTTAAGATTAAACAAGATTCATAAAGAAAGCAAGTTTTAAAGCATTTACACGTGCATATAAAATCTAAATGTAATCCCTGCCTGCACTTTACAAACTAAGGAGAGTGCTATTAAATGTGTAAATTTGAGAGTGCTATTGATAGCGTCTGCTGTCATGGGTCTGTCTCAGTGACAGACTGAGGCTGCTGTTGTCTTCTTCTCTGATCAAAACAGTGTCCCCTTGCGGATACTCAATGAATTGCACCTGATTAAAAATATTAATTCTGTGTCTTTAATGCATTTTTTTCACTTTTACATTATCCTGCGGGCCTGATTGAACCTACTTGCGGGCCGGTTCCGGCCCGCGGGCCGTATGTTTGACACCCCTGCTTTACATAATCATCTCGCGGGCCAGATTAAACTCCTTTGCGGGCCGGATCCGGCCCGCGGGCCGTATGTTTGACACCCCTGATTTAGAGTGTTCAATCAGCCTGCCGTGCATGTTTTTGGAATGCGGGAGGAAATTGGAGTACCCGGAGAAAACCCACGCAGGCACGGGGAGAACATGCAAACTCCACACAGGGAGGCCGGAGGTGGAATTGAATCTGGTACCACTGCACTGTGAGGTCGACGCGCTAACCACTGGACCACCGGGCTGCCCTATGTAAAAATATAACATTTCTCAATAATTCTAAATATGATATTGTCATGGGAAAGTCACATTTTAGGATGCAGTGCCAAGGCAAATGTGATTTATTCTTTTGTATATATATTGAATACTTTCATCGTGCATTTCCAAATTTCATTCGACTTTCAAATGGCACAGTGAAATGCCGCTGTATACGTTTACGGTTGCCACCCATTGATAATGTGTCATAATGATCAATTAATATTTTCAGCTAACCCTTCCATGGAAATTTAATGACGTCTGAAACCTGAGTATGTGTGTGTGTGTTTGTGGCTCAACCACGAACGAGTGGGAGTGTTGCCGTGTGTAATACTGGACTTCTGTGTTGTGTGTGCACCGTAGGTGATGAGCTATGCAGACGCAGCCCAGTTGGCCAGCGTGGTCTTCGTGTGCATACACAGAGAACACTACGGCTTGATGGAGAAACTCAGCTCACAACTGAAGGGGAAGGTATTCATCTTGACTGACTCTGCTTTTGAAAACAAACAAAAACAAAACTGATTTCAGTTTTGTTTTTCTTTGAAACGAAAGAGAAAAACGAGCAGTAATTTAGAAGGGAATGCTTTTTGAAAGCGGCCGTTGAAAACTTAACATTTAATACTGTTTTTCTAAAAAAAAAAAAAAAAACAAACAAACAAAAAAAAAAACCAACAAAACTTTAGGGCATAGAGCTACTTAATCAAAGTCAAATATTTTCATACATATTTTTCCCGTCATTAATTTTATGCCAGAGTTCCCGGGATACAAGTTAAAAACAATTTCCAAACTTTCAAGGGCCCAAGGGATTTTATAGTCTTCCCAACTGATTTTTACACGTGACATGGCACGAAATTCGATACCTGCGGTCTCAGGTAAGCCCAGTCAGTCCAAAAACAGAGGAGATTAAAAATAGAATCAGAAAATAAGATCAAATAAATCACGATATCAAGAAATAAAAGCTAGAGCTTACCTACCGTTTGAACGTGCGGCAATATGCAAATGCGGCAAGGATGCGGATGCAGCAAAAATAAAGAGAGACTCGAATTGTAGAACAACTGTTGACCGCATCTCTTCCTTTTCATTACACTTCAGTTGGCGAGGTTAGTCAGGAAGTAAGCATTTTTCATTATTATTACTATACAATGAAATCCCACGAATAGCAACAGGAATGGCTTTAAGAAGATGATCAACTGGTCGTTTTGCAATCATAAAATTCGCATCTGCAGACCTCTGCCCGAGGCAAAACAAAAAAAAAAAACCAGAAGAATCTCTTGCTCACAACAATCTGCTCTTAAAACAGAACCTATGTGGAGGCATGGTTCGGTAATGAATACTCCCCAAACGACTTCTAAACATCCAGTGCTATTTTCCTCAGCGATGTTACCTCATGTTTTTTTATTCTTGAACTCTAGCTGGCATCTATTTGCTTATCTTCCACTTCACCTTTGGTCCTAAGGTGCTGGTGGATGTCAGCAACAACCCTGAGCAGAATCTGTACCCGGAGGCCAACGCTGTATATCTGCAGAGGTGAGAGCCGCTCAAGCGAGCGTCTTTCAAATGCCCTCACCGCCCGCCCCTGTTTTTGAATTATCAACAATGTTTGCCGCGCAGACTACTTCCTGGATCGCATGTGGTGAAAGCCTTCAACACCTTATCTGCCTGGGCTCTTCAGAACGGGCCTTCCGACGCTTGTAGACAGGTAATTGGGCAAGTATACACGATCAATAAATATCACGATAGACACCTGATCAATATCAGTAGAAATTGCACTCAATATAGCATCGGTAAAAAAAAAATTACAAATAAAAATAAGGAAGCAAACTGAATGGATGATTTTCTGTCACAGTCACAAGCACCTTCGTGGGAATTTTGGAGCACAAAATTACGTTTTGGGACCAGATATTTTGATTGGCATTTTTACTTTGAGTAGTTGTATTCGATTTAATTTTTATGTTCAATCAATTTTATTCAAAAAATATATTAACTTATGGATAGACTAATATGAAATGCGAACATTGTGATTTCAAAAGTAAGCGCATTATGTTTAAAAAGGCATTTATTTAATCATCATGGAATTGACCAGTTAATGTGACTTTTTCAGAGTTGTTTTAACCACTTATTTAAGGTTAAATATGATTAAAAAAACAATGCCAAATTCTGCCTTTTTTTCCTTCAGGTCTTTACTTTGAAGAGTAAAAAAAACAATTTTTTTCATCAATATATGTCGATATCAAATGATATGAAACACTGATATCGTGATACACTTTTCAGCCATATTGCTCATCCCTTTGTATGATTAAAGTTTAGAAAGCAGTAATATGGTTAATTTGTCAAATTTACAGTATCACAACCTAAAAAAAAAAATTCTTAGACATCTTTACAATGTACCATTTTAAATTGTTAACTTTGTTGATTTATTCCGCCATTGCACTCGCGTTACAGAGCTACAAGCCTTTGGCAAGTGTCTGATGTGTTCCCACAGTGGGGTGCTGACCAACAAGTTAAAAATAATGGAAAAATTCTCCGGCCAAATTATATTATTAACTCATTTTGAAGTTCGCATCAAACCAATTCCGAGCGACAGCAGCCAAATTCGGCGCGTCGGCCTTGTGGCTTTTTTGCGAGTGCCACGTCTGATGTATCCTTGAATCAATTAACTCAAAGTCACTCTTGGATCTGAGCGTCCCATCGCACATTTCGCTTTATCGCTCTGTCCTGAAAAACTGCAGCATATGTGAGTATTTTTTTTCCCCGTTTGTTTGTTTCATTCTGATCCGTTTGAACACTCCCAGAGGACTGTGAGGCACATATGTGTTTGTGTGTGTGAGTGTGAGTTTTGTGCATGCGTATACATGTTTGTTGGCATTTGTGGACCATCGCTGGCCGATTGTTGTTCAGTCACTAGCGCTCTTCGACAAAAAGTATTATTTTATCCTTGAAGATGTATCAATGAATTTACGTTATGTGCACAAAAAGGACAAGGGCACAGTATCGTAATTAAACATGATATTATTATACAATGCCCGCAATCATAACTAAACATTGGGAACAGTGTGGCTGTAGCGAGCAGGGCCTTTGAAAAGAGGATAACGAGAAAGTTTTGATGGACGCTGTCAAAGAGGAATTAATCGGATCACATTTGTTTTTCGTGGTGGTAATTTGCATCGCTGTACAACTGTACTCAATCGTACCGAGAGCTCATTCTAATATTTGGAAATTCTTAAATTAACTCACTTAGTATACCTGAATGCATGTGTGCCTCACTGCAAGATACAACTATGGTGAAGCATGCTGGATTGTTCATTTAAGACTTCGGCAAGAGTGTCGATTGAAATTGAATTTTATTATTGTCTCGGGCGAGGCTGAACTATTGCACATGTATTGGATCTCATTAGATTTCATAAGATTTAAGAATTGCATTGCTCAGGGCTGCTGTTGTGTAGGACAAGTCAACATCTTGAAACTAAAGTTGCAAAAAAAAACCCAAACAAATACGTATACCTGTGATACCTGTTAAAAAAAAATTGTGTTAGTGCTGGTAGTAAATCTATTAAAATACCTGTGGTTTGTTTTTGTTTTTACTAAAAGGTTTTCTTGCAAAAAAAAAAAAAAATCCTCTTAGTTATGGTTATATTGGGACAAAACATTTTAACATGGATGGCCGTCGACCACTCCAAAAAATTTTATGTACTTGTATTTTACTTGTCTTGATTTTACTATATTCAATTGTGATATAAACTAGCCGATGGCTATAACCTGGTAAATTTAGATGAAAATCTTCCTTTTTTTCTTTTTAAACAAATAAAACAAAGTCAGATGTGTCATTAAAAAAAGGCCTATGAGGCGAAAAACAGAATGTTACGGGGACTAAGCAGTTTGTCTCAAGCATAAAGATAGCAATGCATCTCTCGTAAGCTGTAGTTTTGTGTATTTTAGTATACAGGTTGGTTTAAAAAAGAAAAAAAAACGCTTAAAATACCTTTTGACACGTTAATATCAAGCAATGGCTTTATGTGTAAAAAAACTTTTCCCGAACACATATTTTCATTTCTTTAAGTTTGACCTATAAACCTTTTATTGTTCTTGTTTTGATTGTAAAGTGTCCTTGAGTGTTTTGAAAGGCGCTTATAAATGTAATGTATTATGATTATTATTATTAAAATCTTGCGAAATACGGACTTTACCATGCCTTGGAGGTTTCAACTTTTAATTGGTAAATATTACAAAATGCATTACTATATTAACAATTATGTTATGGTACTGTATGGTGAAGTGATTATCACTGTCAAACGATTGTGATATTGTGTTGTAAATTCAAGTCAAGTACAACTTGATTGTCAAATGTGCTGTATGCATACAGCACAGATGAAATTTCTTCCCTCTCAAGACAACATGCAACAAGAGGAGCCGCTGCGGGTGCCCGCGCCGTCATCAAAAGAAGCGATTGCTACGCTATTAAAAAGTATCTTACCTACTTCCTGGATATTGCAGGTCTACGTGTGTGGCAACAGTGCAGAGGCCAAGCAGGCTGTTGCAGAGGTGGCCACCAAGATGGGCTTGACAGTTTTGGACAGGGGGTCTCTGTCAGCATCCCAAGAGCTGGAGGACTTCCCGCTGCAGCTGTTCCCCGAGTGGAGGCTGCCTCTCCAAATTGCCGTCGGCCTGACCGCCTTCTTCTTCTTCTACGTGCTTATCAGAGATGTCATCTACTCTTACGTGGATCAGGGCAAAGACATCTCCTTCAGAATCATGGTGTCCCTGGCCAACAAGGTCCACATTTTCTTTCACAGTAACCTTCGAGTGTAAAATCGTGTAACTGACGTGCGGTTGTGTGCACTGCGTGTCTTTCAGGTGTTTCCAATCGTGTCGCTGATCATGTTATCCTTGTGTTACTTGCCTGGTGTTATAGCTGCCTTCCTTCAGCTATACAGGGGTACCAAATACAGGTAAGATATCGGAATAGGATGGACGTCTTATTGATTTATTAAAAATTATTATTCAACGAACTTAATGGAATCGTAAAAAAATATTGAAAACAAAAACGCAAGTATCAACAGAAATTGCTGATCAAAAGAATCAAGAAAACGATACTTGAATCGAAAGCGCTTGCAAAAGGTAAGGCAAGTAACGCGGAGAGTAAAAACGAAAAGACTAATGTCTAATTTCCCAAAAACAAAAACATGAGCAAGATCAACGACAAAAAACAATACTTACAAAGCGGGAGACTAGAGTGCAAAAAAAAACAACTATTACGAGATGGAGAGGTCGAGAAAACAACATTTGAGCAATAGCAGCAACAAGGTCAATAATCCGACAAGAGACATGGCATCTTGGCAGTCCTGAAGTATTTGGCTTACTAATGAACACATTGGCAGCATGCTGGAAGAAAGGCCCTCCACTGACACCTGCTGGAGACGCACAAGAACAGGATCGTGGCATTTATATGTTTTTTTTTAGGCGCTTCCCTGATTGGCTGGATCGCTGGATGCTGTGCAGGAAGCAGCTGGGGCTGCTGGCACTCGCCCTTGCCTTTCTTCACGTGCTCTACACGCTAATCATCCCAATAAGGTGCGTTAGAGTATATACCGTTAACATTTTCACTATACATTTCTGATATATTTCTCTTACATTTCTAAATAGTAAGAAAAAACAACAAAACTCCATATTTAAAAAGAATAAATCGGGTAAATTGTATGAGGTGGTGTGGAAAGGTATAATAATGGAGATTTTAAAAAAGGTGTATGTGCCACTGTGCAATTAGTAAAACGTTCTGGAAAATAGTGATGTGTGCACCAATTTTTAAAATAATAATAATAATAATAATAACAGTAATAATACAAATAATAATAAAATAAAAACACCCACACATGACTCACCAAGTGCAAGGATACCTTTTTGAAAAAATATTAAAGTTAGCAAATTGTGACATTGTAGGTTCCAGCCCGACGGGGGCGAGAAAAGCCAAATAAAAATAACATTACATCTAAAAAACATGTCAATCACTGTTAAAATGATTTGAAATGTAGCTTTTGACAAGCGTGCAATTATTATGGCATTTCATCATTTAATTAAATGTTTCCTGTCCATTTCGGTTGGAGTCCCCCAGTGTTATAAAACCCTTTTGAGTTTAACATAAATACATTTCTCTGGTGACTTATATCCTTTATGAAGCTTATAATTTGGGGTACAACTCTTTTTACCAGAGTATTGGTGTCAGCCGATACCAGCTTGTATTTTTACTCAGGAAGGAAATCGGTACTTTTGAAAAAAGCGACTGCAAAATATAATAATCATATTTTCTTGTCTTGAAAACTTACAGATATTATGTAAGATTCAAGAGTTGGGAATACGTTATCACACAGGTAAGATGCATTTTTGAAACCTGGTTGTGGGTTGTGTGAAGCACAATCAGATGTATTTATTTCTTTATTGTGTCAGTATTCAAAGCCCTGTCTTATTTATTTATTCTTGTTTAGGTCAAGGAGAACCAAACGTCAAAGTTTGACACAACCGTGGCCTGGCGAAGTGACTCCTACCTCTCTGTGGGCATTCTGGGATTTGGCCTGTACGTCCTGCTGGGAATCACATCCTTGCCTTCGGTCAGCAACGCTCTCAGCTGGAGAGAATTCAGCTATGTCCAGGTAGTCACTTAGCGCGTGTGTGTACACTGCATTTGAATGTGTGTTGACTGTGAATACAAAGGTCCAGTGTGCCGTGTGTGCTGGCGCTGCGCAATGACTGGGCAAAATCCCGGCACCGTGTTTACCGTCAACATTGGCAGTCATAACTAGAGGAATATGTCTGTGGATTTTTCCCACCCGTGCTCAAGCTGTTCCTTCGCTCAGCAGCTCCCCGACAGACTTTTCATTATGCAACTGTCTGTGCCTGCTTGTGTGTGTGTGTGTGTGTGTGTGTGTGTGTGTGTGTGTGTGTGTGTGTGTGTGTGTGTGTGTGTGTGTGGAGTGACATAATTTCATATTGTGCGTCTGCGAGTTTTTCACGAGTTCAGTTGGAGGCTTTCCTCATGAACGAAACAGGTCTCAAAGGCTCGCTTGTGTCACTTCATTAGACATGCGTTGACTCAGAAATGAAACAGTGGAAATACAATTTCAAATTAACGTTGATTTTTAATCATAAGACATATTATTTATTCTAATAATATTTACCTTGATAGATTGAAAGAGATTTCTTATTCAATTGGCTGGGAAAAAAAAATCATGCGGCCTTGTGTTCCTCATTATCATTTATTACAGCCTATGTAGCCAATGCTTTAAATTATTATTATTATTATTATTGTTAATATCATCATCATCAATAATGATATTGATGTTCTTTATTGTTTCTTTTGGTTCTAGTTTTATAGTTTTTTTTTCTCCATTCCATTCACCTTTTCTCTATATTTCTAAACAATTACATCATCAAAACTGAAACAATGCGTTTCAGGATGCTTTAGATTAGCAATCGCCCCTTTTCATAATTATTTTTTTTGGGTCATCTTTTTTTTCCTTTTACACAGTCTCTTGGGCTGCCTGATTGATGACAGTTTTCTGACATTGATGGCCTTTTCCTTGTGATTCCAGCTGTCATCTCAAAAGATGTGTGGGTGTTTGCCTGTTTGTGTGTTGTTGTGCGAAGCACTTTGGGCCACAATTTCAGGATGAAAAGCCTGATATACTGCAAAGTCGGATTGGTTGATTAACTATGGGGCATTTCAGGCCACCACTTACCTTATGAACTGATAAAGTGCTACAGAGGCGGCGCTCCACTGGAAATTTGCACTCACTTATTAAAAAGGGAATCAGACAAAATGCTTCACACCTTTCTGTCGCCAAGACATTTGACAGTCGCTGAGATTAAAATACAGGCGACAAGTACGTCGTTGGATATTTCAGACAAATTAGCATGATGATACGTGAGCAAACTTGGATTCTAGTCTGATGATTCACCAAATGCGACCATGCTGAAAATAATTACAAAGGTGCCGTTGCTATTCAATTTAAACTTGCCTAATGGTGATATAAAAAAAAAATCTCCCATACTGACACATACCGCTGACTTTCACATGGTGTGAAAAATTAGAGAAACAATTGGACTTTCAAAAAAATGTGGTCACTTGTCGAACATACGCATGACTTTCAGTTTTTACATCATGTCAGTAAGCTCCGAAATGAGAATAAAAAATCAAAAATGGATTCGCATACCCAAATAACAATTTTAGACTTTTTTTTTCCCTTTACCATGAGCTGCTTGGCCTTTTCCTACTTTGATCAATGTAAAATATAATCCGCCTCGCTAACGAAGTCATTCATAAATGTAACTGGGTCACGTGAAAGCTCATCTTCGCTTTCCACACGCCTTCTCTTTATTCCAGCACAAATTAGAGCTGTCGTTTAAATGCTAATGTTATTCATCACTCGTCATTTAGAGGCAACACCTTATCTTTGGTCACTTGCTTGGATCTACACTCACATTCTGTGTGTGTGTGTGTGTGTGTGTGTGTGTGTGTGTGTGTGTGTGTGCGTGTGTGTGCGTGTGTGTGCGTGTGTGTGTGTGTGTGTGCGTGTGTGTGTGTGTG